GCCAGCCTCCATCACTACTACGTGAGACGAACCCTTGGGTGTCTGTGAGTTCTGTGAGGCATTACAGCAAGATACAGAACCCTAAGACTGGGGAAATTATTGGGAGGAGGAGGAGGAGTTAATGTCTGAAATGATGAAATGACATTTGGGACATCTTTGACCTCCGGCTTATGGGGACTGGCCTAGTGCTTGCTGATCTTTCTAAGAGAAATTGTTCAAGCACTTGGAAACCCAATGGGGGTTGCTATGAATCAGAATCGATTCAATGACAGTTGAGTCTGGTTTGGTTTGGTTTTTGGTATGGAGAGAATTATGTACCTTCAAGAGACATACAGATGTAGTAACCAGCTTAAGTGATGCTTTCTGCAACTTCAAGGTAATTATTTTTTAAATCTTCACTAATGATTATCTTGTTTAAAGAAGCCCCTTTGTTTCCCAGAATGTTCTGTTTTGACCTGTACTGTCTGAGCTCCACCTGAATTTGTTCCCCTAATGTGGCCTTGTCTGCTGCAGTAACCTAAATGAAATCAATTCACCCTGAAGATAAGTTCTATCAGCTTGACAAGGTGAAGAAAAACAATTTTATAGAAACAAACCAAAGTGTTCTGAAGAAGGCATCTAGAGACCTTGAGAAGAAAGGCTATCCTACTGTGGGTGACTGACACCCTCTAGCGAGCGAGCACTTGATTGAAAGAGGAATATGTCCTGGCTGAACTTGAAATTGGAGGCATTTGGATTAATCTCACAGTAATGGGTTAAACTCAAGAGTGCTCTTGGGCAAACAAAGAAGGAGGTGAAACTACACAGTTGTTCTTTTCTTGTTAAGAATGTTCCATGAAGCATGTGACAAAGATGTCATCAAAAAGGGCTTGCACCACCTATCTTGAGGAATTATGTTACTAACTGATAATGGAAAAACTGTTTGTGGTTACACCAGACTTTGTATATAACTCACTCCTGCCTCATGTCCAGTGCCTCAACTGGAATTGTAATACTTCTTAATAAAACTCTTCTTTTCTCCTCTGAACAAAGTAAGAATTCTGTTCTTTGACATTAATTTATTATTTAAAAATGAAATGCCTAGTGGCAATGGCTTTGTAGAAAACCAAGTTTATAAAAATCATGGCCCATATTATTATAATAGAATAAAAGTAAGGAAGTATATAGTAGATGTTTCTAATGATAAATACATTTAAATCTAATTTCCATTTTTGTGTATCGTCTCCTAAGAAAGATAAAAACCACACATATCTAGAAGAAAAGAGAAATATTTTTACCTGGAACCCAGGTCAGTGGGGCACACACAGCGTTACTTGCACTAATCCTGTGTGCATACTTAATGATTTCTTCAGAGGATATAGCACCTGAGAAAGTTAAGTGGAGAGTGTAACATGTCAGTCTGGTAAACATTCAAGTTTGTAAGTGCTTACATCACGGTACTCATCTTATTTAACTTTAAATTATCTCAAATAAGATACTCTGAGTCATCTACATGTATACTGTAAACGTAAATCATATGTATTTCCAAACTAAATAAAAAGATGTTTAGAAAAATCAAATGGCATTAAGAATTTAATTTGGTAGACTCATATAATACTCAATAATCTCAATTAATAACTATCATTAAACACTATTACTATTCTGAAAGCAAGTAAATACAAGTAAACTAGAAGAAATAGAGTGCTTGATCTCCTAATGACACCTATGCTGTTAGGAAGAGCAGACACTTCACACAAGATACCACTTCACTTGGGCTTAACATGGCTCTATGCAGAAAGATATCCACAATATACTCATCAGGTGAAAAACAGCGAACATTATATAGTATGAATTTTGTTTAAAAATATATGAATATGTATTATTCTTTTTATATATGTATAAAAAACCATAGCGCTAGAATAAATCAGGACGTACACACACCAAATATTAATAGTAGTTTACCTTTAAGAAGTGAAAAGAGTTCACTTTTCACTTTATAAACTTTAGAGACAGTTTCAATTTAACAAAGTAGTGTATGTATACGTGTGTGTGTTAAATTTTGAATACTAAAACCAAAACGGAATCAGGGGCCAGATTTCAGATAGCTTAGTAACCATTACTTAGTAACATTTGTTTCCTGCCATAGAAGCCTAGCCCAGCTCTCAGGAGGGCCCACTAGCTGTTTCTCATTATATAACAATCAAACAGAAGGCTGCCAAAGAAACAGAAGTGGAAAGTGAGAAGGTAAGTCTGAGATGACTAAATGTACATCTATCTATGAGTCTTTAGGAGCAAGTAACCAAATTTTAATTATAACTCTGACTTTAGCATGAAAACTAAAAGGTCCCAAAAGGTCCATATTAGAAGGCTTCTGAAGAGAGAAACAGGACAGGAAGACATCCTGGGCCTCTGCACCATAGTTCAGACTTAGGGATGCTCCAGTCCCATTCTAGTTTTCCAAAAGATGCTCCCTTTCATTCTCTTTCGAGAACCAATTCAAATCCCGCTTGCTTCCAGCTTGTACTTTTCTTTCCCTTCTCTCAATTTTTATAAACTCAGTAATTTAAAAATAATTACTGTACATTTGTGCACAGAACCATGAACTTTTTTCTATTACTGCTTCATATACCTAGGCAGGGATATGCTACTTCTACCTCCCTCACAACACCTTGCATGGTGCTAGTACACAGTAGATTCTTTGAAGATTTATGATCACCAACATTAGCAAATGATGACCAATAATACTCTGATCAGTTTCCTGAAACCAAACTTGGATTTTTCAGGTCATCTAGTCTTCCCATGATACTAACCTTTTCTTGCTTTTTCTATTGATTTGAGTTTTTCTTTTGCTTGATAAACAGCTGTTGCCTAAACATCAGAAAAAAAAAAAAAAAAAACATGCATCAAGCTTATTGTTGTTGTTGTGTGCCCTCGAGTTGGACCCGACTCATAGCGACCCCTACTTGGGTTTCCGAGGCAGTATCACTACAGAAGTAGATTGCCTCATCTTCCTTCTGAGGAGTGGCTGGTGGGTTTTGAACCGCCAGCCTTCTGGTTAGCAGTCAAGTGCTTTAGGCACTATGCTACCAGAGCTCCTGTATCAAGCTTAGGTAACTATATCAAGCATTGTTTCTGGCCTAATTTATAACATTATTTAACCCACCGGAACAACATGCAAATTCTGAATCCCCACAATTCATTTGTAATGCTCTGAAAAACCACTGTAAATACTTTATATCAACAGTTATAATTAATGAAAAAAAATACTATATTCACGAATCAGTCTTCCATTTACAAATCAGCTGTTAGAAACAAAAGTATAAATTGGTTTATTTGCTAACTTTTTAAATATTTTCTCATGGTTTATTCTGGTTAAAGCATTCAGCTGCTAATCAGAAGGTGAGTGGTTTGAACCCACCAGTCATTCTGTGGGAGAAAGATGAGGTATTCTGCTTTGTAAAGATTTATAGTCTTGGAAACCCTATGGGACAGTTCTACTCTATCCTATAGGGTTGCCCTGAGTCATGACTGACTCAATGGCAGTGGGTGTTTTTTAATTTTCTATCTGGACATGCAAAAAAAACACCAGACTATATACCACTCATAAATGATCCTATTCTTGCATCTGTTCAAAAGTCTGAGCCAATAGATAGGATAAAATACCTTAAAATATCCCCCTTCCCCAATTTAAAAGATACATTCTTGGATTGATACTTACTTATCCATTACTTCCATGCTTAATGATTACTATTAGGAAAATATTCCCCCCTCCCCCAAAATACATGAAAGGGTAAAAAAGGTAGTGAAATTAGCATAGTACATGAAAATCCTCAACTATAACACAGTGATTAACATTGTGGAACCAGTGAGATTTAGGTTTAAATTCCATCTCTCCATTTTTTTAGCCTCCTTGGGCAAGCTGGATATTCATTTAAAGTCTTGGCTTTCTGATCTGTAAAACAGATAACAGCATTGATCTAACTGTTATGAAGTGTAAGACAGTGCATATTAAAATGTAACAGCACAGGGTCTGGTATGTGAGTGTTCAATAACGCTGGTTGTTATTATCTAAATGATAAAATTCAGTCTTATTATGGACTTTATATTCACTTTCTTTGAGTAAGTAATTGTATTTTTGGAAATCTAATCTGATGAAATAATCTTAAATGCAGACGAAAAAAAGTTTTATCTAGGGTTCGGGCAAGATGGCGGACTAGGCAGAAGGATTGCACAGACC